CTACAGCTTTCCTAGTGAAAGAACATATTGCATTCTCCCTCTAAACAGAATTTTAACAGGTGTGCATTTAGCAAATATGCCACATGTGATTAAATATTAAGCACGGAGCTTCTTGTGTTTATACAATACTGTTAGCGTCAGAAAAATAGGACTAAAAACTGGCAAACATTTCTACAGGCAAAGAAGATGAGAGAGAAAATTTGATGAAAGCCTCATTTTTCAAAGGGATGCCTGCAGCATGTAGCTGGAGGCAAGTTAACACGAGCGGTAATCCTTTGTAAGGCCTATTTATATAGGGGTGTGGGGGTGCCATAGTCAGAAGTACTGTGCTGTGAAGATTACAAGTACCTATAGTGCTTATTTTCATCTTTCACCTTATTGCTACTGAAGTATTATTTTTAGTCTGCTTCAGCTGTATGAAGAAAAGGCATGATTAAGCTCTATTATAATTTAATGAGGATTTAGAATTTAAAGGAAACATTCCTGTTTTTCTTTCTAGGCAACATTGTTGCCTGTAGGGTCCCCCCATTTTTCCTTACAAAGGAGGATGTCATAGTTAGAACAGAAGCACTAGTAAGGTTGCCCAGCCTCAGAACTAGGAGGAAACCAGGGGATGGGGAGAGGGGGGAGCAGCCGTCAGCTTTAGCATGACATCACTTCAAGGGGAAAAAAGCTGGAAAAGATGTCATTCCTCTCTAGGAATCACTGGAGTCTTTGTGGCTTTTAAGTAATTCCTAGAGAAGTGTGACATAACCTCTAGGATTTCCTGGAAGTGACATCATGTCATAGGCCTAACAGCCATTTTTAAATTTATTTTTCTCCTGATACCATTCCAAAAAAGGAACTGAGAATTGGGGGGGAGGGGTAGCATACTACAAATATGACAAACATATGACATACCTATCTTCTTTATTGGTTCCAAATATGGACTTGTAAGTAGGAGAGATCATTGGATCCCTGGTGTAGTCTACCCATTTTCCTATGGCAAAGCATAGTACAACTGTGGAAGGAGCAACTGTTTTATATTGGTCTACTTGCGTTATCCTTTATGAAGCTGCAGTCATCTTTTTTACCAATTATTTCAAAAGGATTGAAGCAAGAGTGTTGAGGATAACAGGAAAAGTATGTTACTTTGCCCTTTTCCGAGCAAAAATACTTGCACAAATTTATAATTAAGTACATATTTGGCTGTGTACAAAATTTAGTTTTGATGTTACGTTTCAAATTCAGCCAGCCATAATATTCACACTCTTGAGTTCTTTTACCACCTCTAATACTAAGCAAAAGGAATTGGTTTGTATCCTGTTCAGTACTGTTCAGTAATATCTGAAGCCTTCCTCTGTTGGTAGTAGCTGACATTTCTACCAGAGGAACTTTCCCTTCCATCAGATGAAAACTCTTAGAATGTGGAAGACTTCAGACTTTACTGAGGGAAGTGATAGGATACAAGCCAAAATAGCTCTCTATATACTAATGCTGCTTTAAAAGTGGCAACATTCCATGCGCTCCCATTGGCTGTAAAATGCTTTCCCTCAGCCATTGCCATCAGCCGCCACTCAAGAGTATTCATGTGCCATTGGCTGGGTTCTGGGTCTGCTCCTCTTCCCCACCCACTCCCCCTTCAGCCACTCTGCAAATGGCTTTCTCTCTTGACAAAGACACTTCTCCTGCTTTCCTCCTGTGTGGGAGTAATTTTTCTCTCAGTGGCTGTTGGTAGGTGTAACGAAATGGCAGTTATCTGTGTTTGTAAGATGACTGTTGTCTGTGGTTGTTTGTTTAAAATGTTCCCCCTTAAGGTTTAATTGAGCTGTAGTTCCAGAGAGGGGCCTGTAGTAATATCACTCACTGGGTTGAATGGGGCTTCATCATCTGCTGGACTACAATTCCCAGCTGCCCCAAGGCCAAAAAGAGTGGGAAAAGAGGGACTGTCCCAAGAGGCAGGACAGCATCAATATAGACTGAAGCCCATACAGAGTAGAGGCAGTGTTCATCCTACAGGAGGTTAGGAAAGGCTCCTGCTGCCTGTGCTGACCAGGCTGTCCAGGCCACAAGCCACAGATGTGGGGGAGCCCTGGGAGGCAGCAGAAATTCAGCCACTCCACAGTCGGCTTGACTGGGGAATGGATGGAAGTTTCCTTGCTCTCTTGGACCAGAGAGAGAGAGAAGTTAGAGCAGAGAGCCATAGGCCGGTGTGTAG